ACGATTCAACTCTCTGACTCCAGATTTATTTTTTGTAATACAAATCCTGATGTATTGAATTGAAACATGCTACTGATTCCAACTTTTACAGCAATTTCAAAAACACCTTAATCCTTAAAATAAAACGCCATTCATTCAGAAAAAAGTGTACTGGTAGTGGAATTGCAAGCAACTTCTGACTCACTCAATAAATATTTTTAACATCTATTTATTTCAGAAATTAGCATCTCTATTGGTAGAATAGTAGTTATGAGGTCATAATGACTCATAGTCTTTGTCATTATTAGTCATAAACAATATAGGTGTCACTTCCTTATGACAAAATGCTTCTACTAAAACGTTTGTACAATTTTGCATGTCCCAGCAGTTGCGTATTGGGTCTGATGTACCTCTATTATTCTCTATAACTTTAGTAGCTGTTGGCACTTTAGTGGCCACCCAACACTTTGCTGCGAGTCTCAACTACTTCTGAGGGATCACTTTATTCACCGTATTTCGCGCCGATCAAGGCCAAATAATTTATTACACTTAGGATGAGGTGGTGAGCATGGAATATGACCTGATCTACGTAATCTGCGACACCAACACAGTTAAGTTTGATGATTTAACCAGTTATAGTGTCATAGCTCCTTTTCTCTTTTTTTTCACCCTCCCCCCCCTTATTCGGCGCTCCCGTAGTATGTGAACCAAGATGGCAGCTACCGGAATATAGTATGTGTACCAGGTTAGGATTAGGCCATAATTTTATTCCAATTTTCTTTCTTTTACAGTTCTATTACGAGTTCGGGGACTTGCCAAGTGACTCCCGTAGTATTTGGACCTAAAATTATGGCTTAAACCTAACCTGGTACACATACTACATTCTGATATTTGCCATCTTGGTTCACATACTACCCTTTTGGCTTAATAATTTGTCGATTCCTGAATCAATTTATACAAGTTGGCTGATATAGATATTTGAAGTTTCTTTATTTTGTAACAGTTATTGATCAACAGCCTCAATGATCGATTTACGTTTTTTCTCATCCCCTTTCTCCATGATGATCCATTTTTAGTTCATATTCACACTCTGCATCCACAATGCACATTTTCAGTTTGTTGAAAGTCACGGATTATTGATAAAATACACAGAATGGCACATCAATCAGTTTTCACCATTCCTTATTGAAGGTTAGAGAACCGGATTATACCAGTTTCAACCAGTCGAAACCAGATATCACAAAGAATTGGATTTCAACGATGTTCAGATCTTCAAAAAGGTTTTTATTAATAATTTAGAGGTTTGTTTTATCAGAAAAACGTTCCAAATTCCAGAGATTATGTTTCAACACATAGTGGTAAAATTTTGCCGAAAAATGTCCTAGAGATGCTTGTAAAAAAATTGAATATTAGCTTGGAATCGGAATTATCCAATATGCAATATTTAAATTTCCTAATTACGGTCTTACAGTATGATTAAAAAGTTCTAAAAACTAATTGGGGACAGCCAACAGCAAAGTTATATTCTGTGAAATATTATTAGAGTATGCAGCAATGACATAGCCAGAGGGGAGTCTGACCCCCCCCTTTAAAAGTGTAAAAAAAAATTCTGTAACATACATAGTAATTTTTCCTAGCTTGAAGAGCTTTTTAGCCCCTCAAGACACACATTCCAAGTCTGACCTGCTGGCTGTTATGGTCTGACTTGGCATTTACAATTTTCAGGACTCCTCCCCCTTTGGAAAATTTCTCACTACGCCCCTGGTGTTCAGTAAGACACTTGTAGTAATTATAAAATCTGGTTTAAATCCCACTCCCACAGCCTAACCCAGTAATAAATTAATTGACTCTACGCAATGCAGAGCCGAAACAATTTTAGACCTTCTTGGCTTCCAATCTCTACCCTCCCAACATAAAACAGCTCAATAAAGGACCTTAGCTTCTCTGATTTCATACATCCTACAATCTTTTAAAACATAAAAAATCGAGTCTTACGTCGTTAGAAACGACACCCCGCGTTTCATTACCGAAGCACTAATATTTCAAAATGAAGAATCTAAGTCACGCTTGACTAAGCATGACCAATTATAAGACCCAAATTTTTCAATTTAGAGACAACGTGGCCCGTGTATGTAGAAGTGTAAATCAATATCACTCAGAAGAGAGTACGACAGCAAAACCACTATTGCGTCACAAAACAGCTACACACCCACGTTTATGACCTCAAAATGACAATGTGGGGGGCAATGTAAATACTACTGTGATATAATAACAGTAAAAACTAACAAATTGAGTTCTTACATGTATGAGAACACAATGACAATGTGGAAAATCAAAACTTTGACATCCAATAATTATTTAGGTACGCGTCTGAAACCTCTCAATTCAATACAGTAGAGTAATGCACAAGTACACGAGCACAGAGCGTTACCGTTCTATTTGCACAAGACCTTTTACTGACTGCGTACCCTCGAAGTGTTTCTTACTCGCTGCGTACCACCGAGAAAGAGCCCTCTTTTGGAATGGGGATCAATGTACAAGAAACGTGTTATGAGAGTATTTTTTAATGTGGCACTACATCAATTTTATAAAACTTTGTGCAAACTATTAACTATACGCAGTAACAACATAATAATTGCGTGCATAATTGTGAGAGAATTTATATCGTCTACCGTCAGAGCTGTATCACCAGTGGCACACGTACCATAGGTTAAGGACCATTGCCTTAGTAAGTCCCTGGCTGTGAGATTTACAAATAAAATTCATTCAATAAATTAAAAACATACCGTATCAACCGTAACACTAGTAGGACACCTATCATCAGATTAAAGCGATTATAATAACATTTGTAAAAATCAAGTCATAAATTCTAAAATTAATAAAAAATAACTAATTTTGGACAGTCATTTAGAGCATACGGTAGTCACATATATCTTACAAAATAAAGCAACAGCTTTTTAAGAAAAAAATGAGCTATTTTGAAAATTCCGAATTTCATCAAATATACAGGTTTTAACTCAAAAAAAGCTCATTTTCCCATCTTGGTCATAATGTAATAGTTCAAATGCTCAAATGATTGTTTTTAAATAGTCTATTCTGAGTTCCTGTGAATCAAAAATTAAAACTATTTAATTTTACACACAATCAAATAAACCATCCATTTATAACTTCCCTGCCTAGAGCCAATTCAAACACTAATTCAATAATTCCCTTCTCTATCAATTGACCTGAAATTAACATTTAGAAATAGGTCAACCATTCAGCTTTTGTTATTATCTGTTCTGCCTGCTCAGTGTTTCTCAAAATTTCATCAAGGATGACCCTCTTACAAAGACTCTTGAACCAGTGGTTCTGAACCTTTTTTTCTTTTGTGGCCCATTTTCGTTGCCCATTAACTTTTATTGCAAAGGAAAAAAAAACTATAAAAGGAATCAAAATATTTCCATGAAAATGGACACTTTTTCTTTAATAATTAGAATAAAAATTACCATTTTGTAGCAGAAAACAGCATCGTCAATCATTGGTAGTACGATAAAGGATTATGTTACATTAAAGATAGTGACACAAATAAAACTTGCATTTTTCAATATTTCTGCGCCAACCTCAAAATCTTTCCGTGGCCTACCAGTGGGCCATGGCCCACTGACTGAGAACCAGTGCTCTAAGCCAGGGGTCGGCATTCTACGGCCTGCAACGCTTCACTGAATTATAGTAACAAAACAGCTGTTTTGACAATTTAATTCTTTAAGTAACAGAATTTATTACGAGATGCGTGTAGACTAAATTATATTATAATCTAACATAGATAAAATTCACAATTACTTGTTTAATGAGCCTATAATTTAATTATAATTAGACAAATGGCAACAAAACGCAGAAAAGTTGATGCTAAGTGGAAAGGGTTCAATGATGCCAAAAATATTCAGTTGGAATTTTTTGAGATGCAATGCAATGTCACTGCTTGATTTTTATTATAAAAAGTATCATCCGTTCGGTTTTTAACTTTATAAAAATATGTGCGGCCCACCAATGACTTACAATCATTATTTTGGCCCACGAGCGACAAAAGGTTGCCGACCCCTGCTCTAAGCCAACGGTTCTTTACCGGGGTCCATGGCCCAGCAGAGCAGTTGAAGGGGGGCCACCATGCTAGGAACGATACTGATTTTACATTTTCATTTGCAAGAAAACTACCTCCATTTCTCCTAGTTTTATTGTTTGATAAGGTTATTTCACAGGGTGTTTTCACTTTGTTGAGCATAAATTGTTTGAACATGATGGGATATAAAAACCACCAATCAAAATAACACCATAAATACCACTGTACTGACAAACATGGGGGCGCCAAAAAGAACCAGCCACGAGCCATAAAAAAGTTGGGAAGCACTGCTCTAAGTAATTGTGCCCGCCGCTATTTTGAAAATACCTAGTTCCGATTTGCCCTGCCTAGCTCAGTGATTCTCATACTTTTTTGGCCATCTTCCAATGACACTAATCCTGTGATTCTCAACTTTTTTTTTCCTAGCCCATTCCATAGTCCATCAACTATCTCATGTAAGGAAAACACAACGAAAATAACAAAAAATTCTTTATGCAAAATTAGACACTTCTGTTTCCAATTTTGACACCTGGTCAATAGGCTTTGGAAACCACTGGTCTAACCATTACTCTTAAACCTTATCAACTTTCCTCTCCTCCAGGATGAATAATAAAACTCTATTCTGACCAGGGACGTGGCCAGAGGTTGGAACTCCCCCTTTTGAAATGAGAAAAAAGCATTTGTGGCTTGAAACGCACTTTAGACCTTTAATAAGACTCTTAAAAACCAACGATTTCCAGCAGACAAACCAACGTTTTCCGGCTGTCTGCTGGATTCGCTACGTGTTGCGGTCTAACTTAGCAATTAAAAATTTTAGAAACTCCCTTCAAAAATATCTGGCTACATCTCTGATTTTGACTCTGACAGTAAAAAATCAAGCTCCAAATTATGATTAACACTTTACCAAAACTGTACATTTTACCTGTTTTCTTGAGCTATGAAAAGTAGTTGGAAGAGACGTCCTTCTACGTTGAGATAGTCGCGCCCATGTGGCTTCTTCTCCCCCTGTGCCACGCTCTTTTATGACACCCAGTGATGCTCGTCTATGCGTATGTCTCGGTGGGTGATGTTGCTGGAATAATAATAATGAAGGGTTTGTATGTAAAATTGTAAATTGGCAAGTTATCATAGATATCGAAACTGGGCGAAGTATGTGTACCAATACGGATGTAACTAATTTAGTTCGCCTACTTTACATCAAGCTGTGTAAAGTGACTGAAACATATGGGCAGGGGGTATATTTACTTGGCTAACACAGACAGTCCCCGAACTCGTAATAGAACTAAAATAAGGAAAATCGGAATAAAATTATGGCCTAACCCTAACCTGATTACAGGAGTACCCGGAACTGGGTCGAAATCATTAAATTCCAAAGTTGGAATTTCAAATTCTCTGGAGTAAGAGTTCCCATGTTGATAACCAAAATAAAAATTTTGCATCCTTTGTACAAAGCCACTCATGCTAAAAGGTGAGATTTGAGAAAATACCCCTGCTGAGTTTTTAAATAACAAATTAGTAATCATCAGTTGCAGTTAGGAATGATTTGAAAATTTGAATTCCCAGCGCAATCTGCATTCCCAACCCTAATTGGATAATTACTAGTTATCTTATTACTTTTCGATTTTAATAGGTAAGGATGTTGTTTGGGAAAATCTCACGAAAGCGAGATTGAATTTTGCATGTGCATTCATCATATCTCGGACCAGAATCCTATTGATTTTGGATGAATTATGTTGTATAATTAGCGAGTTATTAATTAATTAGTGATGTGATGGGACACAAGGTGTCACTATGGAGTAAGAGCGCTGTTTTGGGGGATCCCCTAACTTTCTATCGATAAGTCTTCGGTCTCTGACCGATATTCTCGTTTTAGGTGTTGGCGGGGATGGTTTTTGTGACAGAGGCTTTTAAGACCCTCATCTGACCAGGGCAAAGCTTCCTCAGACAAATATAATACCAGAGAGTCCTCGACTTACGACAGTGTTCCGTTCTCGAGACGAGGTGTAACCCGAATTTCAGTGTAAGTCGGAACATTATACTATACAGTACATATATTACTCTATACACATCGTACTGTATTGTAAAGTATGGTACTGTAATAAAATGTACAAATAATGCAAAAAAGTACTTTATTAAAAAAAACAGAAAAAACAGAAAACAACTACATATTACATGAATAAAAGCAAATACTGTACAGTACAGTATTATCTTTTATATTTTTTATGGAGTGCGTTCGTAACCTCAAAACAGCATTATGGAGTGCGAGTTCGCAACCTCGAAACAGCGTAAGTCGCGACCGACGTAACCCGAGGACTCCCTGTACATTAGTTAAAAGCGGAATTGATACTAATTATCAAACACCTTTGATGTTTCCCCATATCTTCACAGTGGTCACATACAAAACAAGAAATGAAATTAGCTTATTTTTTATCATAATATAAATCTAGACCAGACTATTTCTAACATCTTTATACTTTTTAAGTTGTTGCTTACAAAACAAAAAACGAAGTCAAAATGATTGACATAGTAAAATTCAAATCTAAATATTGCTACTGTCTCCATGCCCTCAAAAGTGATTCTAAATTAGTTGACATATAATTCTAGAACTAATTATTTCTGATGTTTCCATACCTTAGCAGTAGTTGCACTCAGTCCTATATTCGATACATTTACAGCTACAGGAGGAGACGTTCGACCCTTTTTCTTCATTAGAACAACGCAAGGTAAGAAAGAATCCGTCCCAAATCGCGACGATAAAGGATGTTTTTTGCGGCTCCATCGATATTTAGGTGAAAACTGAAACGCCTGCAAAATATAACGATTAATAATTTAGCTCTCTATAAAAGAGGAAGACTATATTTTTTCATACAAAACATATTCAAGCCTTACCCTATCAAGTCTCGATACAAACAGCCAAGTTGCGACTAATATACATGGCTACTATGTTACTTGTCGAGAAGGTAGCCTACCAACCTGGAGCGGGAACAGCTTTGGTGAATACAATGCTGCCATTTTGGCATGCAACCTCAACTGCTAACAAGAACTCAATGGTATACCAAAATGATACCAATTGTGGAACATTTGGGTATGCATTTAACCTCATAAAGAGGGAAAACTTCAAAATTGACTAGCCTATGAACATTATTTCAATTTCACCTTTTCTTTATATCTTGGACTTTCATCTTCAAAATGTTCTTTCTCTTCATTATGTTTGGAAAGTTCGCTCGGCCGCTGCTTACTCTGATTATCCGTGTTCATGCTTGCAATAAGAGATGATGAAGATTCAAAGTCTGGAAACATCAGAGTAAATATTTACTTTACACCCCTTTTTTCTCAAAAGTCAATCTAGGATAGAGGAAAGCCAATAAGATGGCCTAATTAAATGGCAAACCATGACCTGTCCATGTTGGGTATGAGATTAATTAGCAAGTTATTTGTTTCAGAGGCATGAAATTGATGGTGGAGGAAGCCGTAACTGACCAGCGGTCATGTGAACCTCTAGGTGGTGGCAGGGAGTCCAGCGACCCTCTCGCACAAAATTTGAAAAGCTACCTAATGCTTAGATTGATGCCCGCCAGTCCATGCTGAGTAGGGAAATAAGTTAAAGTATAGTACATACTGAAGAATATATTGAAGTATTTGGTCACACTGTGATTCTTCATTTGCACATAATTTTAAAAATTCTGAAATACTCACAAAATCGAGTTTTTAAAATATTGGTTATTCAAATATTCAATTCAGTTCAGATATCCTTGAGATGTAAGATATACCCTGGCTCACCTATTTGAGGTAATTTATCGTTAAATGAAGCTTGGAGACCAGCGTCAGTGCGTTGTGTATATCCCAAGTTTTTAGTAAATTGTGATGTCCCTGGTATATTGGCAATGTACATAACAAATATCCGGGTAACCTGGAAAAAATTGTTGAAGTTCAAGTTACAGGAAATGTACAATTTTATTCTGTGGATGAGATTGGTTTTTGAAGTAGTAGCGTCGGCGCTCCAGAAGTGTGTGTACCAATATGGGGATCTCTAACTTGGTTCGCCTACTTTACATCAAGTTGCTAAAGAGACTGAAACCTATGGGCAGGAGATATATTCATTTGGCTATCACAGACAGTCCCCGAACTCGAAATAGAACTGGAATAAGGAAAATCGGAATGAAATTATGGCCTAACCCTAACCTGGTACACATACTGCAGGAGTTCCGTAGTGTCAAATTTTGGACAACTAGTAATATTATTTTTGGATATATATTATGAATAGTAAACTATTTAGTTAATACCATATCATGTGTGAATATATTCTGATAATATTTAAAAAAATCAGTGATGCGTGAATGGTCAGAATAAATATCTCAGACAGCAAATTGCTGTTATTATACATTTTAATGATTTTAGGTTAAATTACAAAATAAGGCCCTCTCTATAGTGATGAATAACTTTTTAATACCAATCAAACTGAAAGATAACAAGAGATAAAAATTCAATAAGTCGCAAATTTAACACAATAAAACTTTATTGCATCACAATTATTGGGAAAACCCACATTGTTTGTAACAAACCACAAAGTCACAAATATTTAAACAATTGTTACCTAACAATCCATTCTCAATGAATTAGAACTTCGCTAAACAGCATTGTCGCCTCTAGGCTATTAAAACTTGCGTCATTCACGTTAAGACATAAACAACTAATATAATTGTCTTAAAGCTGGAAATGTAAAAGACTTTTAAATCTCCTTGTTAGTAAAGATAATCTTGATGGATACAAATGAATTGGGATATTGACCAGTATGGCTTAGTGCATGGATGTGCAACCTGCGGGACAAGTGCTGCCCACAAGAAAAAATTGTGCTACCCACGAAGCGAGTTTTCTAATTTAGTTCAATCTGGTACGTGCGAGTAATTCTAAGACTATACCCAAGTCCAATTTTTTTTTATCTATGTCCATGGCGTTACAATGGCCTAATAGCTAGCTTGAGGGAATCAAAAACCCATAGAAGATGAATACCAAAATTTTTGTGCCTGCAACTACTAGAGAGTCTATGTTAAACAAAGGTCCGGCCTGTAGTTTCACCGAGTTATTCGTATCTGGTCCTCCTGCATCAAAGGTTGCACGCCCCAGGTCTAGTGGTTAACCCTTACCGTGCAGTGGGCACGTATACGTACCAACAACAAAACTCGCTACATCGCGGCGGGTACTTTAAGTTACCCATTGTTTTATTTAGCAATCGGTCGCAAACTGTTGGTCTAGTTTTTCCGGGTTTTAGTTTATTGATAAGAAGTCTTCTTTGAGAAAATGCCTTTTTTCTATCCGGTTTGTGACTCAGACCACCACTTTTAAAAAAACTTTTTTTTTTATTCGCCAATTGCAAGCTCTTTAAAAAAGCTTTCCCACGAGCCGTCAGTGGGCAGCAGAGGATCATTAGTTTTTCGTTAGTCGATTGATTAGTTGTGGGGGTACAAATGCATAAAATCGGCGTAGCAAATACGGTTATTTCCCATGGTGGTATCGCAGACTAATAAATTAGGTTCAAATCCTAATCCCACCACCTCACTAACGGTGTGACAAATTTGGGGGAGGGGCAATGCAAATACCAAGTTCAGACGTTGGAATAGTAGAATACATTAAATATCGATTCAATATGCAAACCTCTAGTTAAAACCTCAAAACATTCTAAATAAGTTATCTAATAGTTTCTCAGACCTGGCATTGACTCTAATTTGGGGACTGAAGTGCTCTAGCTAGCCCTGGGCTTCCCAGACTAGGGAGGGGGGGGGACACCCAACGAGCTTTAGAGGTCACAAAGAATACATCAGTTTCACACAAAGTAATCTACAAAGTATCTATTGCACTTTTGTTATGAAATACAACCATCAAAACTAGTGCAAAACAAAAATATCACCATTTCCAGAAAATAGATAGGATCAAAAAACGGCGTGCTTGCATAACAATGACGATGCGGAAAATTCTAATATATTAGAAAAGATTTGGACCGGGAATTTTTTCACCCATCCAAATAAATCAGCTTTTTATTAAATAGAATTGGCTATATCAGAACGCCTTGTTAGGACGGTGACATGGCCACCAATACGTCATGAGATCATTTCGAGCAAGTCATAGTTTAAGTTAATTTTATAAAGAGAGAACAGCTTAAATATAAGGAACATGGATTTAATATAACAGCAAAAGTGTGCACAAAACACCAGGCCACATAGGTCTCAAAATATCCTTCTAGTAAATTCTTCCATTCTGAGTAACGAAAAGTCTATAGGCCCATCAAATGCAAAAAGAGCAGTTTTTTATAACAAAAATATAGAAAAATGTTCCATATGTCCACTGCTCGTCCGATATAAGTAAAAATGGAACGATTAAATGCGAATTAATGCTGAGAGACGTGTGAAAGCTGTGTTATGACATACTAGGGGCCTGAGATTTGGATGCGGACTTGGGTTCGAGTCGAATCCATACAATTTTAAGACTCGAGTCTTCAAGTCCATGCTATTTTTGCAGAGTCCTTAATTAATTGTGATTTTACTAATTGACGTCAACCTTGTGTTATTCTACTATTTTAGATATCTAGTTGAAATTATGTGATAGATTGAAACAAAACTGGGTTATGTATCGTCTTGTTACAACCATCCGACTGTTTAGAAAAGCGTTCCATATGTCCACTGCGTGTCCGATATAAGTGAAGAACAAACAATAAAATTCCAATAGTGTTATGACCGTTTATACTCATAAAATAACTTTTCATTGACATAATTTAATGATGATTAGTGTAATTTCCTTTCCAATGCGTCATGATTTGTACCACCAAATGTAAAACGATAAAAAGATCATTCTGGAAATATAAGTAACGTGTGTTTTCCAGCTAACGAGTCAACTCGAAAAACAAGACAAGAACTGGTACGTTATGGTCCAAAGCAAAAATGAGACTAAAAATCGATTTAAAAGCTGGAAAATTCTGTAACTAAAATTACCATTTTTTCGGAAGTTTTTACCGTTATAAACTTAAACAATTGATACTTGTCCAATTGCAATTCTATATATATATTCGCAAAATTTTCCGCATCTGAATCCATGAAAAAAAATCACTATCTCCTTCAATTTCGTCTTCAGTACAATAAAAATAATTATTTTTCAGGAAATATTTCAGGAAAAAATCGAAACTCAATATTTATTTACCCCTAAATTCATTACCCTCCAATTATAGTCCAATGTTTCAGCCGCGTCCGGAAAATTCGCCGCATAGGTACTTAAATAGGTACTACGTCGCAATAAAAGAACACTTCAAAAACTTAACTGTTATCACAAATACTTGTTTTACAGTAAAATGCTCTTGCGACAATTTTTCCTATGCGGCGAATTTTTCTAGGCTAAATTTTCTGTGCTGAGATTTCCTAGAATTGTTGCAGCACTAACCAGAACTGAATGAGAACTGTGTAAAAAAGCTGTGGACATCAATATTAAATAGGAGTTCTGAAAATAAGTGATTTTGACCCAAATCAAAGCTTCGATCTTAATCCTTATTTTCAGCATTCTTCGGGGTAGAAAATTTCATGAGAAAAATAGTTCATTAGGGGTGGACGTGTTATACTTGTGGATTAGCAAATAATTTGAGGCAAAACTATTTAACTCTTATTAAAAAATTAAATTCATTATGAGCGATTTCCTATACAAACAATGCTCGACATTCTCCAGCACTTCATCATTTTTAGCAATGCAAGACATTTGAATGACTGAACAGTCGTTTTGTCGTGAAATAGTCGTTTTGATTCATGCCACAGTATTTTTGCGGTAGCTGCATATGGAAACAATAACACAATAGCAGAGAGCAAGGAGAAGTAGTCAGGTATGCGCTACTCCAATCAACAAAAAACATGAGTCTAGCAAAGTAAACAATGGACGCTCACTCCATAAATAATGACAAACAAAAATGAAATTACAGCTGAAACTGCTGTCAAACAGATGAGACATGTGACGTGGAAATTTTAAATTTTTTAAATAATTGTCTGGGACGGAATGAAACTCTAGACAGGTTTGTTTAGTTAAAATCAAACACAATCAATCTCTAATTAAGCAGGAATAGGGTATAGCGTTCAGCGCGAAACTGCCTTCTATTTGAAAAAATAAAATTTTGGTACATTTTTGTTTGGTGTTATTTAAGCAAAGACTAAAAAAGGCTTAGAATTGCAATACTTTTTGCGTATGTCCAGTAATAGGCTGGACTTGATTGTACATTATGGCATTGCATATTTCAAGAAATCATGTCTCGACAATTGGGAAAATTGAAACTTTCAAGTAAGTAAGTTTATTTAGACTCCAAAATTGCCAGTGCACTCTGGAGGGATAATTATGTACGAACAGTTTGCTTAACACCTCAACGTCGTAGGGTGGTTTTCATACGGTCATAACTCAGTAACTACTGGTCATTTGTGGCTTCCCCTCCAGTAGGGCACAGTTCGCAGATTCCAAGATGTCCCGACATTTGGTTCACTATAACAAACACTGAATTTGCCTCTGAAACAAGGGCATCAGGCCGACGGCAGATCGCAGCATGCTTGTCTCAATATTAATCTGAATCAATCGTGACGTGCGTCTGCCGTCATATAACCAAAACTATCAAATGCTCCAATGAAAAAATTTTCCTTCAGTAAATCGAATTATTTTTTTTCAAGGAATTCAGTGGAGACGATTTCAGATTGTGCTTCCTTTTAGTTTGTAGCGCAGTGCCTGTTGCCGACTTTTGCCGGTATCGAGGCCCAGACTGTCTCATAAAGGAGATACAATCACTTTTATAATTTATTTCTTTTAATGTGGAAGCTATTCTAGGAATCCGAGAACTGCTGAACTGTGTCGTACTGCGCACCATAAAGTCAGAGCATTTGAAAAGAATATTTAATCATCTATTCCAATGGCGGTAAGGTTAACATGTACAAGCATCGGGACAACAAGCAATGGTTTGTCTTACAACTAAGCCGCCTCATCCGCTTGCCACTGTCTTAACATCAACAGTCTAGGAATGCAAGATAAATACTGGAATATGGAAAATATCATTTCCTAACATCTGAACATTCCAATACCAGAATAATATCCAGAATCGAAAACCAAAATAATCAGATAGGATTGGTAATTTCAAACTACAGAACTATGGCTGGAACTAATAAGTTAATACAGGTACAGGTACGGTATTCATTAGAAACAGCAGTTAAGTTACCGGTACGCCTACCATCCTTTACCGTGGCGGTAAAAGCGTTGCCTACCGGTACGGTAACATTAGAAAAAGGGCTCAAACAACGATCGAAACACTACAGTAAAGTCACAACTCAACGAGTTACACAAAACCTACTTATTCCTTAATTTCTCATCAAAAGCGACCGGTATTTCATAAATAAAACGACAAAAAACAGCTAAAACTAAAAGCGAACGGAGAATCAGCCAGATGGCAAATCCTCCCGGAGAAAAGCTCAATGCGCATGCGCGATCGTCATTGCCGAGTGGTACTTCGGTGCCACCTAGCGTATAATGAGATTTGGTTAGATCCATTGATGTTGTGAGATTAGTTTTTTTTTTTTATCTTCATACCAGGGAGAGGAAAGTCGATAGAACGACTTAATTAAATGGCAAGCTACGGTTTAATATCCTGTTACCGGTTCGAGTCAGGTATGAAAAATAGTTGTATTGTATTAGGCCGTATTAGTATATATTTACGATTAAACTGTATTATTTGTTGTTTTA